GGCGTCCCGATTTTGCACATTGTACCCCAGGGACGTCCCGATTTTGTCCAATCCCCCTGGCTTTAGGTCGAAGATGGGTCTCGTAGTAGTCTCAATATGCTGTCCGCGGCCCCCCATCGGTACGCTGAAGCACCAAAAACAACAACAACAACAACAAGCACAAGCGCGTGTTGATTATCTTCGGTAGAGCAGCGTGTGCATCTCGCCTTCTGCAACATCCAAGGTGTTGTTTGGAGCGAGTTCGCTGATGTCGTCGCTTCAGGATGCGTGGGGGAACTTTCAGGAAGGCGTGAAGTCGGCGTTGAACCAGTGGACAGCCCTGAGGCTTGCCGTGGTGAGGGCCCGTGCTTCCATATTTGGGAGGCAACAGCAGAGTTCACATATATCGTGGTAGCTGCGAACGCGGAAACCCCGGGACAAGGCAATGAAACATGGAGGAAGAATCACACGATGGGCTTTGGTGGTTGTCTTGTGGACCTCAACACTCGTGTGTTTACCTAACACATCGCGGGCCGCGACGCGAATCGCCGTTCTTGGGAAAGGTCCCTACAATGTAGCACGAGCAGGATCATACACACCGCACCTATTGTAACCTCCTACATTACTCTGCTTGCGGTTTTGCCTCCAAATCCTCGCCCCGTGTGGTGTGCAATGTCAAATGTTATCTTGCAGTTTGCTGGTTGGAGGTACGTAGCTATTAATTGCGGAGAGTTGTCGACTTCACGGCATCGTGTGTGTAAAATGGATGTTCTCAGTTCTCAGCTACTTCTCAGTGCCTTTACGTATCACTACGTCACATCATCAGCTCGCTGTGTACATTCTACAGCAGTACTGCTGTAAGCGTGTCTTTTACGTGTGTGTCATGCGTACAGTGGTTTCGACGATCGTGCTCGGCCGGCCATGAAAAGACTGCAGTACACAATGTACAGCAGCAGAAAACCCTTGAAAGGGTCCCATCCGCGGCTCCCCTTGCCGTGATGGCGGGAGAGTAACGTGTCTACTACTGCAAGTGCCTCGTCGGTATACTAAATACCGACGACGGCCTGCTATTGGGGCATGCCATGTGAACCGGTTGAAACACTTTGGCCCGGCGAACTCATGGACTCCTGCCAACAACAGGAAAATAACTGGGGAGGAGGAGACTCGGAGCGCAAAGCGGCCCTCCTTGAGGAGGGTGTGATGAACATGTTCAAGACCAAGAAGGAGATCTACAAGGACGAGGTACGATAGTGAGAGATGGTATCCACGTCTCCTGCGTAGGTAGATGTAGCAGAGATTGGCACAGCTTTCCCTATTTTTTCGTGGAAAGCTGCCGCTGCTGTGGTAACGGTAAGCGCTGAGCATTTGGACCGCATGGCTGGTGCTACAGCAATACGTGCGTGAATGCATTCGCCGCGACGATGTTCTTGCTTTTTGGTTCTTTGCTTCTCACTTGCGCAGCCGACATTAATTTGTTTTTTCTCTTGGCGTTATTCTGTAGTATGCTCATGTGGTATCCTCGTGCACGTGAACCCATGTTCGGCTTTCCTTATTTTGCGCATTTGGTTTTCGTGTTTTCGATTGTGATGTCGCTGATGACCAACCTTGCGTTGGATGCGCTCGTCCTCCTTCGTGTTGAATCGATCCTGTGCCTTCACGAGCAGGTGGAGAACTTCCTTGCTGACTTTCTTGACGACAACTTCAGTACCTATGCGGAGGATGACAGTCCGGCAGAGGTACGCATGTAAACGCGGGGGCGCACGTTGAACCTCAAACGTGCGATTGAACACCGCGTTGGTTTGTCTGTTCCGTGAACACATGGGTGTCTAATAACGTTGTCGAAGGACACGCAAAAGAAATGACGAAAGCATCGAATGTTCACACTCGGCGCACATATGTGTTGGTAAGCCCTTGTGTTTGTCGTGCTTCTCACCTGGACACCTCTGAAATCTGCGAATCCTTCTCGATAGTTCTGTGTTCTTTGGTTCTGCCGCCAAACAACTCTCTGCGGGCATCGCGATCTTAGTGCGCCTTGACTCGCTGACCTCTGGTATACTACAGTTTTCGTGACTACCACTGTTTTTTCTTCCATTCCACCAATTTGTTGCTGTTCTGTGTGTATCTCCCGCCACTCCGCTTTTTTGCCAGGTGGCCATGATGCTGGTGGAGATGTTCTCGCAATGCGGCCGTCTGGACTACACGCTCGCCAACGCTGTTCGAGCAGAGGAACAGCGCCTCCTCGCGAAGAAAGCCGCCTCAGCCTCACCCGGTAGCGGAAAGAAACCGTTGTCGGCCGTGGCGAGCAGCATGGCTGTAAAACGGCCCGGAGGAGAAGAGGACGACAGCAGTAGTAGTGATGAGGACGAAGATATGGGCGGGAAAGGGGAGGGGGGCGGGGGGGCGGGAGCGGTAGACGCGGATGGGTGGGCAACAGTCACCGGAAAGCAGGCTGGAAGAGGGGGACGGCGGTAGCTCAGTGATGTATCCGGGACGGGGGACCGGCTTCCGTGCTTGTCCGATTCGTCTTTTTATTGTGCTGGGGGCGGCGGGGGTCTCTGTTTCTTCCTTTGTTTGTCGGCCCCTACTCAGATGTTCCGTTTAGCGGTAGATCGAGAGTAGAGTGGAGGGAGGGGCGGGTGAGCCCTCGCTGCGAAAAGTAAATGCATGTAGAGAATGCATGCCGCAGTTGGATTGGGAAAGCCGTAGGTGACTTTGAATCTGTGATGGACTGCTGTGTGGAGCATTCGTGAGATGGCGATGATGACAATGAGACAACGATCGGGGAACTAATGTAGCGCCATTGGCGAATATCGTCGAAGAGAAATAGAAGGACCGGGAGAAGTCAACACTGATGGTCCTGACACCACACGCGAATCGCCGCGATGAAATGCGATAGAAGAACGTCCCTACACTACAGTTCGGAGGAGACACGACAAGGCAGATCGATAAGGAGGACCACAATACATTCAACACCTGTTCCAACGCTCTCCCACTTCGACGCGCCAAAAATGAAAAATATACAGAAGAGATAAGCCCTCAAATCTCTCAACTAAAGTCGCTTCGATGTGCCCCTCTTTGTTCCCCTAGAATACTGCTGCTGTAGGCGAGGAGTGTAGTCACCGCCGACTACACTGCTGTAGGTTGTGTGCACGATTATACATTTCATTTCCCCACACATGCATGTGTATACGTACACAATGGATATTCAGATTAAAAGGACGCGCACGTGATGTGATACCTGCGTCAAGTTGGTGTCGTCCGACTAAGACAGCAGCAATACCTGCGGGTACACAAGATAACACCCCCCCGGGTGAAAAACACATTTTGACCTATGGAGAAGGGTGCGTTGTTGCTGTTGTGTTGTGTGTGTGTGGGGGGGCTTGTGTCACCCTGTTTTTTTAACATGTAGGCTCAACAGATAACAAGATAGTACGGCCGTATCGTGTGTTGGGTGTTCCGTATGTGGGGGGGGTGTTATCTTGTGTACTGTACTGCATACGTGCAGCGGACGGTACGGAACAGCTAAAGTAAATCAAATCAACCTCCCTCGGATCACAGTACGTGGCAAACTACCGAAGATTTCTACGCCAGATTTTCGCCGGTCAGGTCTACTCTCGCCCCTCGCTGCATGCCGACACGTGAAACAGCACCCAACCGCCTGTCAAATGTACAGTGCAAAATACTGTAGATAAGACCCCCCCCCACCAGTACATTTTTTTTTGCTCTGTTGACCCAACGTTTGCCGTTTCGCTGGCTGCCCGACTCTATTTTTTTTTTTTCATCGAAGAGTAATTGAGCTGGTCGATCGACTCCATCAAATGTGCACGGTCCGGTGGTGCGAGAAGAACAGCAACAGCGAGCATCGACTAACGCCTGTGCCCATAATCTCTTTCGAGCTCGGTGGTCAAAGGACTTTTTTCGTTCTCGCAATTGCTCCGGGGTTATAGCTTGGTTGCTTTTTAAGGGTTGGGAAGGAAGGCATCACAGCAGCAGGAGCTGGAGGGAAGGGAGGCTGGACGATGCCAAGTGGTACGGGCAAGGACGTTGTTAATGGCGGCAACTCGGTGGACGAGAAGAACAGGGTCGCCTTGGTGGCCATCTTGTCCTCCCTGAGCTACTCCTTCTGCTCGGTCTCGATGGTCATGTCTAACAAGGTGAGTCGAGCGCCACGCGGTCTCTCTCGATCTCGTCGTTGCTGTCGGCAAATGCGTTCGTCTTTCTCCCTCATCACGAACAAAACGCTCATCCCCTCGGACTGGTGGCTGCGTACGGCGTGCTTCGTGATGAGGCGATGAGAGCCTCCTTGTTGCCCTCTGTTTGCGCTCACCTTCCCGTGCTCTTGGTGGGCTCTCGTATGTCTGTTTGCGCGGGTCGGGTGAGTAATCGAAGCCCGGCCTACTGTGTGTGTCTCATCACAACAGTTTGGCCGTCTTCTCTCCCCTCTCCCCCTGTCTTCCATCTTGTCGCGTATCACCCTGTGTCTGTCTGCTGCTGTTGATAATTTATTGTTTCGTCAAACCAGGAACACTACTTGTTACACAGCTTTGTTGTCGGCAAGACGCGCAGACCCCGAACCTTCCTTGCGGGTGCATCCAATACCGCATGCCATGCTCTGCCTATTGTAGCTTCTTGACGCTAGGTTGTAGCCGCTTGTTGATCCACAAGCAAGCGCTTCGCCCTCCCTCACGCAAACAAACGAGCGGAAGAAAGCAGACACCTACAGCAGCAGCAGTTCCGCAGCTGGCTGCAGTTGGCAAAAACTGCCAACGCGATGAATGTGGTGCCTGCTGTTCCGTGTGCACATGCTGCATGCCAACCTTTGCACAGCAGTCGCTGCTTTTCTAGCAAGCTTCCAGCTCGAGCCGTATGGAAAAGTTTCATCCGTGGAATAATCCCTAAAGTTGTCGAAGTTTTCTACAGTATATTTTGCCCATGGCCTTCCCTGCGGAGATCGACGGGTACACAGCAGTTCCTTACAAAACGGGTACATGCGCAGATATGCCGTGCTCGATCGTGGAGAACGCGGAGCGATCGATGTGTTCGAACCGAATCATACACCAGTGGCACCAGTGGCAGTGTTCCATGTGTAGAATATTATTCTCCGACGTGTCTTTTGCCAAGACGTGAAAAAGCATGGAATAGCAGTTGGCGCAAGAGGATACCGGACGGCGTGCGGAGATACGTTTATCGTGTCACATGTATCATGCGCATAATAGTGCAACAGTGAATCTTTTCGAGCTCTGAGCACATCATCACAATCACGTAGAGAAACGGACCCCTCGCTGTTAATATCACCCGATCCTCGTTATGATGAATTTATGCTATGAATATACTGCTGTAGAAGAAATTGTGTTTCATGCGGACAGTTTGCCCTCGCGGCAAACCCAACGGAAACTTCTTTTCATTGGCGTTGGCTGTGTCTGCTACAATCCCTTTTGTATCACGGGCGGCCGGTGTTCGTTTCGCGAGTTATTAAAGCTAGCATCACTAGAGAAGGGACGAAACTCATGCAGAAGTACACATTTGGTCCCCTTGTTTTGTGTAGGGCGGTCGATGCTTTAAGTATCATCGACACGCACACGTTCTGGCCCAGGCACCGCTTCTATGTATGGCCAGCCAGCAGGTGGCATAAGTTGGCATGAGGCAGAAGGGCAGGGAATGCTCCCCCTGATATTTCGAAAGGAAAACTCGTGTCACATTTTACATTGCATCCACAAAATTTCTTCCAAATTTCCTCGTTTCCTCAAGCAAACGTATTTTAATGAAGGTGAACGTCCTGGCAACACAACGTGCCGGTGGAGGGGTGTGAGATCTTTCGATTGATCGATCGATCGATCGATCGGTCAATTTTCAGAGGTCGATTGATTGCTCATCACCAAGCGAGGGGCTAGAATACCTTGTAATAATGTTGACAAAGGGTGCCTTCACCGATACATGCTATGTCTTCAAGAGTTGCATAATCTCTCCTTGCATACTTCACGAGTTGCATATCTACTGTACCAGGCTGTATGTCGCAGCCTAGCTGTGGAGCAATCGGTCTTCGAATATCATTGGTGAGGTCGACTCTTACGCCATCCAACATCTTTTCGTCACTCCGCCGGTGCCAAACAGCGGCGTTTCCGGCGGACCCGCGGAATTGGACAATTAACCCAAAGGGCCCCCACCAGTAGGCCGTACATGCAAGGGCTGGATTTGGTAGGG